ACTCAATCCAACATATTTGATATGCTTGCCAAAATTGTTCCCATGAATATGAAATTCCATTATCAATTAATATTTTATAAGAGAAACGGACAAGTTCTAATGAATTTTCAATTGTATTTTCATGAATTGATGTAGCTATAAAAGCAGCTACATCCATAGCAGCATGTCCAATGCCACACCATTGCCAATCAATAGCATATATTTGATTCTCAGTTGAATTACGATTGATAAAAATATTTGCTATTTTATAATCACCATGGATAATTGTACGTGGTTGTAAATTATTGAAGGCAAATGTAATATCATTTAATCGTGATTCCAATACAGAACCAAAATTTTTTGACAATTCCGATATTTGAAGCTCATTATGAAAATTTTGTACAGTCAAATCCCAAGCTTTTCGTATATCATTCTTGTTCGCCTTGAATAAAATACAGATTAGATAGAACTCAAACATCTAGCTATTTTATACAAGAATAATATCAAACTTCAATGAAACTATTACGCATATTGGTTACTATTTCGCTGAGAGGTCAAAAATTCAACGGTAAAATCATGTTTTTCCATCAAAATTGAAAACTGAATACTTCCAATTCAAAGTCTTATGCTCATAAATCAAAGGTTTCCTTCTGAGTCTTGTTTCTGTTAAGTCCTAGTGCACTTGAGTACGTGAGTATAGTATGTACTTCATATGCTTCATCCAAAGATCTCGCTATATTACAAGACATTAAAATTGAAATATCTCTTTTGGCATCATTACATCTTGATTTCTAGTCATTAGAAAATAGAAAAAATACCTCTATTAACAATCACCATAAAAGTAGCAATCGATTTTATTCTCACTCTCATTCCAACGATAGCAAGTTAGAGGACTGAAAGCGTGAAAAAGTAGCATTTTCGAGTGATACATAGTATAGGAAAACAACTATTGGTATTGGTGATCATATTTAGCTGAGACCACGATAATAGGGTCTTACTCGGCTCATCCAGTCATGTTGAACTTCAATCTAATCTTTCAGTGAATGAGTATATAACATTAGTCCAATAACTAGGAAAAGTTTTAACATTAATATTTACATACTTCTTTGTCTCCTGTCCAATAACCACCAATGTTCCACAATTTAGCACCTCCTTTTGGTATTGGATTATTCCAATTCCAAATATGAAATAGAGCCAGATGTTTCAAACATATCATCGAATCGTTGAATGAAAATCCAGATGGCTGTCCATTATCATAATGCGATAAATCCTCCATTATTATTGTAAATTCATTTTGAAATACATTTTCATGTATGTGATAAACTTTCGGTAGTTTTAAACCTTTAATATTATTGGAATATACTTTATAGAAGGTCGTCTCTGTTTCATAAGAATGAAGCTTGATTGCATAATAGTCATTCATATTTAACGATTTCTTAATATAAAGAACGATTTTTTCTAACAATGTTTTATTCCACTGAATAGTTTTCATTACAATTGAGTTTGGCAATTGTCCGTGGGATTCCGAATAAGTCAAAGATAGTTTCAATACTTTAAAATGGCAACCACCTTTAAGTGGTTGCGACTCAAATGAAATAACTTTGATGGTAGAAGGTACATGACACGAATGATAAAGAACTTGTGAAAGCCACTCAGTGTCCACCATTGAATTTTCAGTATTTAATTCGATTAATGATATAAAACTGAAAAAATAATCTATCAAGACAACACGAGAGGTTTGAGTGGTTTAAATACTTTCAAAAAGTCGTTCTATTAATTCTAACTACCAATTTCTTGAGGAAGTATCATAACACGTTTTGGAAAATTTTTAAAATTGTTTTTCCCTAACTTTCTCTTTTGAAAAAGATGAAAAAATGGTTGAGGCGCTTCATCTATTCCTTCGAAATAGAATTTCCAAGGTATTAAACGATATTGAGTTAAAATTTTGGGCACATTATTGGAGTGCCTACTCATGTCCAGAAAAAAAATTCTATCTTATACCTTGTCATCTGTCAGAGTTATAACAATTTTTGTGGACCTTCCGCGTCTCCAACAACATCAAACTATCTTAAGAGGTAAATGCTCCAAATAATCTTTCGATACGATGGAATTATTTGGAGAATTTATGTTGAAAGAGGAGAATATCTGAAAAATCGATGTTTTTGTGGAGAAAGACTTAAGTGTGAATCTATGAATGAAAACGTCACTTGATCGCTCTTTTCGAAAGAAAAAATCTTTAAACTGTAAATGACTCATTTTAGAAAGGAAAAATTTTCACATAATGAAGATTACTGAAAGATATTTTGTGTTCTCGTCTACTTCATTCTGCTGATTCCTTAATCGATGTTCTAACCTCTACGTGGATAATTATTTTGTATCAAATATTCGAGCACTGCATTCCTTGTTTTATAACGATACAATAGTAACTTACATTTTTTTTTTTGTTATTTCTTATTCTGCTATCAGTGACAACAAAAAATAATGACTTCAGAGTAGCACATGTTCCTTACACAATCATATGCAAATACCACTGATAAAACTAAGGTAAGGATGAGAGTGTTAGGATATGTGCGAGTAAGTATAACTACTACAAATACAGCAATTTTGATTCGATATTGCTGAAACAATCTTATTGAGAACATTTCACTACAAACATAGTGACGTTTATAATTAAATTAGAAAAATAACTTGATGATTATTTTATTAATTATGACTTGTATTTATGGCGATACAAATTTAACATTTATTCTTATATAGCAACCGGTTTTTGTTTTTACATTTCATTTCATCCTTTAGTATTGATATATATATGAAGAAAAACGATGTGACAGAGCAACCATAATATCGTAATATTAGTCAATGGAAAACTAAAGTTTATTATTTATTATGTACTTTTAAAATACATTTCATATTCAAATTCTAGCATTGAGAAAATAGTTCAAAATGATCTGCGATTGAGAATACATCATTTTGTAGTAATTGAATTCTAAAATTTTATGCATGAAAAAAATTACAGAATAGGGTAAGACTAATACGGACCTGTTTCTTCGTCATAATAATAATAGAACAAAAAGATGTATCGGTTACTATCAGTATCACAACTCCTAATACAGAATGATGAAAAGAAAATAACCTGAGATAACTATTGTAACGATGAAGCAAGTCATATAAATTCTTGTGTTTACAACTCGTTTTATGAAAAGTTCGTATTAAATTCATTTGTTATTCAAAATAACTTGTTTTTCTTCAATTGTATTTGTTTTATTCAAACTTTTTCAGTGATAATACTTTTATCATATACGTTTCATTAATCAAAGAAGAGAGGACTAACAAAGGAAAACAGTACAGTAATACATCATATTTAAGAATGTATTGCACCTGGGTACAGACTGGGATTCCCCGCAGAAGTTACAGCAGTAGCTTTAACTAATGATGAAGAGTAGATACGAGAGGTGAATCGTGTTTTTAGCTTATCTCAACTGATATCAAATGTTAAATAGCTATCAAATATGTCACCTCATCAGCTCAAAAAAGCGAAAAGACTGTTGTATCATTATTTTCTACATATAGTTGTAGTCAAATGTTTCAAATTTCTGACAACAATAGAGACATTGGAGTCAAACTTATTAAAATAATTGTATCAAGAACATATTCAGCAACATATATCAGTCAGTTGGCTATTAACTGTGACTCGATAAAACAAGAAGATAAGAGTTTCTTCGAATCACACTTATTTTAGCTAGTAGCCATTTTCAAATTTTTCTACCAGATGATAAATTCATAACAAGAGTTTGCCAATAAAGAATGCTCTGACTATGCATTCTGCAGATCTAAAAAGAGTAGTGATGTTTTTCGTGACTAAGTTTTGTAGTGAGTATTACAAATACAAATCCAATTTTCTCTCACGCTTGCCCAAAACCTATTTAAGTATTACATTCTCTCAGAGCAATGCTAGGATGACGAACAACTTTTATCAACCTTCTAAGATGAGTAGATCGATCGCATATTAGTAAGGAATCACCAATTGCATAGATTCATACTACTATGATACTTTAGAAGTTCACCTATTTTAGGAAGAAGCATCGCTCAAATTCATCAAAACAGTTTGATGTGAAAGTTTTCGGCTATAGAAAGTCGTATGAAAATATTCTCAAGTAATAGATAAATAATGTATAAGGTGACTTAACTTATTCACTTTTTACTATAGTCATTATTTCAGTTGTATAATATATGATTTTTTTCTAAATAATCTTTATGTTAGTTTGAACATTATGCTTTCACTACTTCTAATGCTTTTGATCACAATACCGTCTATCGATTCGTCTATTCGTATTATTGACGATTGTCAATTGTTGATTGTGGGTGGTACAACATCAGCTTTGGGTGCAATAATATCTGCTTCAAAATTCCTCAATTCACGTACATGTCTATTAGAACCAACTGATTGGATTGGTGGACAGTTAACAGCTGAACTACTAAGTGCACCTGACTTTGCTTGGCATACAATAAGAGATACGGATAATTTTACTCTCAATGTTCGTGCTATCGATCAACAACTAAATAATCAAAATCCTCTTTTTTCAGAAATGCTTGCTGTTCTTGGAAATACTGGTGGTTGTCATGTATCTCCATCGTGTTCTACTCCTTCATTATTTCATTCTCAAGCAGTATTACCACAAGTAAATAACACTCGTATATATTATAACACTGTCATCAAACGTGTTAAGAAAGATGCAAGTGGTCGTCGAATAACTCAAATAGATGCTATACAACGTACGTCACGACAAACAGAAGAACGTTGTAGATTTTTATCTGAAGAATTACCTGATTGGTATTCTCCAAATGACAGTGCATGGTTTACGAAAACTGAACTGTCATTCACAAATCTTTCATTTGTTATAGAAGGTACATCATGGGGTGAAGTATTGGTACTATCTAATGCAAGTTATCTACAAGGTTTAATGGAACAATTTGATGGTGATATATCTGGTATTGGGAATTCAACATGTGGTCAAGCATTTACAATCGGTTTTCTGGAACAATTACGAGAAATACCTGTTGATGAACCACCTAATCCATTACCTGAACCAACTGGAGGAACGAATCATAGTTTTGGACGTTATACATGGGAATGGGTATGGACAGACCGAAGAGTAAATACATCTGCACTGAACTCAAGCACAATTGCTGTGAATGACATAACAATACAAAATTGGGGTGGAGGTAATGATTATGGAAAAGAATTCTTTTATCTGTCTCCATCTGATGCACAACATCAACGTGATACCAATCATTGGGAAGGTGGAGTTAATTTGAATGCTATTCAAAATGCTGAAAGACAAGCTTACAGTTATCATTATTGGTATCGAGAAAAAGCACCAGCACAATGGGCAAATCGAACGGTGCTTATCAGATCATCATCATTAACAGGTACATGTCATTATTTGGCAAAATTACCCTATATGCGAGAATCACGTCGATCAATTGGGTATCAAAACTTCTTAATGAATATTACAACTATTAGAGGTCGTGCACGTGATTTACATGGTTACATTTTTGATGATCGTATGTGTATTGGTGCTTATGATGCTGATTTTCATCGTATGGCTAAATGCACTTATCCATCATATATGAACAAATATTATCCGATTCTCCCATATTATATACCTTTACGTGCAATGACTAATCGAGATATCGATAACTTAATTCCGATTGGTAAAACAATGGCACAATCATTTTTAGTCAATTCAGCAGTTCGTTTACATCCCGTTGAATTTTCAATAGGACAAGCAGCAGGTGTAATAGGAACGTATGCAGTTCAAAATAATTTACTAAGTATAGCAGAAATGTTAAAAGAAGAACACTTAAGTCGTGTGCAATCAATAGTAAAACAATTCACTCCAATATCATGGACAATTGATGGAAAGCGCTATCCAGATGATTAACTTTGTTTATCCACAATCAATTTCTAACTTACTTTTCTTCTTATTTCTTTGATGATTTATTTAAGCAGTTCCATATTTTGTACATGAGTAAATGAGTTTGCTCGCGTCATTTCTTCTCAATCTAATTAGAAATGATATACGTCAGAGCAAGGGTGTTGGGACTCCCGTGTCTTGGAAACCTAAGAACTCATAGTGGCTTGGGTCAAAATGAAAGAAAATATATGTATAAACAACTCCGAATGTTCAAAAACCTGTAAAAATGAATTTATCAAGTGAATTTGCATTCCAAGGATTCTGGAATTCGATATGATTTCTTGTTTCTAGGAACGGAATCTGAATATGATATTCTTACTGTGAGACTATAATAAATGATAGAATAGTTTTAACTATAGAAAGTACAACGAATATATAAACGCGAAAGGCAAAGACAATGAACTATTTATCATTATTAATATTGAGATTCTCCGTACCAATAATTTAAATATTCGTGACAAGTCACAAATGCATAGATCATCTAAAAATGATAAAGGAGGGGGGGGGGGGTCGTTAAGAGGCAAAAACGGCCATCTATCGGAATTCAACTTTGTGATTCTAATTTTATCAGTTTCGGTGCCAGAAGTTTATTTCTATCGAAATTAGACAGTTTAAAGCATTCGATATTGTACGCAGCTCGATTTAGTTACTCTTCATTTTCTCTATGTTATGTGATATAAAAAGCATTAGGATGGAGAGTGATTTGTTGGTTATTGCTCTACTCATTCATGATTATGCCCAGACGATTTATATGTCAAATTGAAGCTTTCTTATTGTTCTACCGAATGACATATAAACATATCAGGAAAAAATAAGTCAATGGTTTTCTTTGATATCAAAACCATTCTAACACTATATGCCCAGGCGAGCAAAAAATAAGGAGTGACGCCCGACATGACTAGTCTAAAGTGTCCGTAGTACCCGTCTGGACTAGTCTAAAATGTCTGCACTGCCGTTTGGACTAGTCTGAAATGATTTGCAGCAAGTCAGGACTAGTCGTCTTCACGAGGGACGTCTTGCATCTAAAATAGACTAGTCCAAAACATGCTCTAATCTTGTCATGGCTAGTCCGTTTTGTATGTGCATACTGTCCAGACGCGTCAACTTGAAGGCAAAAACTAGAAGAAACGGAGGCGATAGGTGGATTCGAACATTCAAGCCGACAATATTGGATACCTGACTAGTCTGAACTGTTTTCAATGAGTAACGCGGACTAGTATGAAGAGTCATCTATATTGGTCATGACTAGTCGTTTTCGAGAAAGTAATGCTAATTCTGGTCCAGGCTAGTCTATCCTTCCAAACAGTCTTTATTGCTTGGACTTAATCATTCGGACAATTCGTTTTGACTAGTTTGTATTGGGACTAGAACGATGTATCTAATGAGAGTTGGCTATTTATGTCCTTTTAAATTTTTAAATTGTAATAACAATCAAGAATAATTTTATTCGAAAAATTAATTTTAATGCATTGATATAAGGATATTATTTTATTTCAATATAAAACCTAATGATTTGAATTTAAAAATGGATTTAAACGGTGGAATCATAGTTCATTTTCAAATTTAAATAGGAAATATTTTAAATTAAGATAAACATAAACCATTACATGAAAAGCAAGATCTTTTTTTGAAATGTATATTATTATTTTGATTTTGATTTGAATTTTAATTGTTTGTTCCAATAGAAAATAATTTTTTCTATATGTCGATAATCAAAAAAAAATTCTGTTGAAGGAAATTAAAAAAATTCTGAATTAATTTTGCTTAGCTTTATTTAACTAATTTTCGATTTTATTACAAGTAGTTTCTATAAATATTAAAACTTGAGAAAACGCTGAGTCAAACTGTAGTAATTAGTGTCTTCAGATGTGTATTGACATGTAAAAGTTGATCACTAGATCATATGGCTCAATCGGGTAGACGACGAGTAAGTAACACAAGGTATGCATGTACGAATCTAACTTTCTGCACATATTTCTATCATTTAGACTAGTCCGAACTAGACCGCTACATAAGACTGAAACCTAATAGATGTCGCGTCACAGGCGCTCTGCCTTTTTTAATTTAAAATCTATTTTCGGACGGGATGCCCAGACGGGGTTAAAGATTCCAACCCATTTTGGACTAGTCATGTAGTAGGACTTTTTGAGAAAAAGACTAGACATGACGCATAGTCACGACTAGAAAAATGACTAGTCTTTTTACCCGTCCTTTGCTCGCCTGGGTGTCTTTCTATGGTACATACATATGTAATAATAATAGTAAATGAAGTTTGAGTGTCTGAAACATGTGGATCCACTTTGAATTGTATACCAATCAATAGGATGAGGGTGTGGGTGTGGAAGCACAGAAGATACACCCACACCCACACCCACACCCACACTCACACCCACACCCACACCCACATCCACATCCGCACCCACACCTACACCCACACCCCACACCCACACCCACACCCTAAAATATTCGTTTGATAATTACATATACTTTATGCTGACTACATTTCTTAACTAATTAATAGAGATAAAATGAGACTTGTTATGAAGATAAATCGTCCATTTCAACTTTATGAATTTTTATAATTACTTAAAAGAATTATCAATTTTAAAAATATTAGGATCAATAATCTTAAATTTAATAATTAATTTATTTGAATGATGATGTTCATCATCAGTGATTCGTTGATCATTATTCATATTAATGTGTTATTTGTTCTGTTGTATAAACAAAACTTATAAAACACAAATTAAAACTTTATTTAGACATTCACGATTTAATTTAAATATATAACTTCTTAAGAAAATTAATTATTTAAAAAACAAAAGTCATACATTTTATCAATGAAATTTCAAAAGAGATATTGACATATATTGACCTTCATCTACACGAGTTTTTTCTATTCAAATAACTTCGTCACGATTTAAATCCATATGAATCGTTTTTTTCGGTTTCATCGATTATCCCATCATCTTGAATGCGACTATCTCTATTTAAATGTGTATTTATTTTTTCTTCAATTTTGTCTTTAGCAAAGTCTATTAAAATAAATCATACATTTATATGTAGTTACAGTTTGAAGAGAATAATAGAATTACAAGATACACTTATATTTATTTGTTCTATCGTCTTTCTACTTGATAAAACGTAATGTGTCTTTCATATTTCGAATGTAAATATATTATCATTATTAATTATTTCGGAAGCTAACTATTTTTGTTTTTTTTGTTCACATCGAAATATCTTTTTATTTTCGTTGTGATTATTATTTAATTAAGTTATATTTCTTAGTAATTATAACAATAAGAATAAAAAACATTATTGATTCGATAAAAGGATTTTTAATGGGATCAAAAAGAAAATTTTGATAAAATAAAAATAAGTGAACATTTCAGAATATTTGAATAATGATTTATTGAAACAGTTTTAATTTGTCAATCAATAAAAAAATATTAAACTGTTAAAGAAAAGTAATAATATTAGGATCAAAATATGCAAAATTGGAAAAAGCATCTACTGGTGCTGATGATAATAAAATAGCATCTTTTTGATCGAGTTCAGATAATTGTGGAGCTTTTGTTTTTGGTTTAAATGATATCAATGACTAAATATTAAATTCAATAAAATTTTATTCATTCTTTTTTAAATGATTATTATACATACAGTAGGAGTCCATGGTGGACGAACACGACGATTTTCAATTGCATTGAGTGTATATGGTTCTCTATAATATATGTATAGATAAATAATTATTATAGAAATAAAATATTAAACTTACTGAAAAAATGGTTGATCTTTTAATAATCCATGTGGAGAAATAATATTTCCTAATCTTAGTCTTGGATCTCGTTCAAGTAAAGCAGATATAATCTGTTTAGTTTCTTTAATCATTGTTTTTGGATATATTATTGGATTTAAAAGAACATTTCGTATTATATCAGTACTATTATAAGCATAAAATGGTGTTTTAAAAGTAGATAATTCAAAAATTAAAATTCCTAATGACCACCAATCAACATTTTCATCATAAAAATCTCTATGATAAATTTCATAAGCAATATATTCAGCTGTACCACATAATGTTTTTGTTTTATGATATATATCAACATTTTGTTTTGATAAACCGAAATCTCCAAGTTTAACATGTCCATCTTCAAACATAAATATATTTTCAGGTTTTAAATCACGATAAACCTATATCAAATAAATTTTCATATATATATTTACAAAAAAAACAAAAAAAAAGGAAAACACCATACAATACGTTTTGAATGAAGAAACATTAGTGCACATATTACTTCACCACTGTAAAAAACAATTCGATCTTCTTGTAATGGTTCAAATGCTTGATATGCAAGAATATTAAGCAATGTTCCAGCTCGAGCAACTTCCATTAGAAAAAAAAGTCGTTCAACATTATGAAATGTATAAAAAAGTTGAATTATAAATGGATTTGATCGACATTGAATAAGAATATCTCGTTCGGACTCAACATATTCAAGATTTTGTCCTTCTAATATCAAATTTTTACGAAATGTTTTCATTGCATAATAAGATTGATCACATTTTACTAAATATACCTAAAATTCAACTAATCTTAATTAAATTTTTTTTTAAAATAATTCATATTAGAATATCATGTGTTATATTCATTCATTCATTCATTTAATAAAGTGTTGGCAATGCGAATTTCGAGTAAAAATTCTTTTTTGCCTTTCTTTTTACATCATGTGATAGAGCGTGAGCTGCTAATCACGAAAAATTCATCCTTTCTAAAGTATGCCTTATATTTTGCTTCATGCTTTTCTTGAGTTTTGAAAATCGTTTTTTCGGATTCAACATCTAAAACTGACGAGGGAACACCACGAACTGATCAATTGCTATTTAAATTTTAGTAATGCCAATTTATAGAACTTGTTGAGTTATTAACTGATATAATAATCATTCGGGCCAACAATGCGGCTGCAGAG